GTTTTGCTTTACCTTTTGAAATGAGTATTGAGCAGGTGTTCGCAGTTGTTATGATGAAGGAAAACGTACAGCTGAAACTTTGACAATGGACTACCATAGAGGACTCAACATTGAGGTTTATTCTATATATATATATATATATATATATATATATATATATAATTGCACAATTTTGTTCTCCGTTAAATTTTTGGTCCAATACTATCCCTGCCATTATTAAAAAAATTCGTTTTGCCTTGACCCCCTAACGGAGCTCCACCTTAACGTAATTTTAAATAATAATAAGAAGCTAAGAAGTAAATTTGAACTTATTTTCCTATTGATTTGGACATATGAAGTCCACCAATTTTAAATTGGAACTCAGTTAATAATAGAGGGTAAATACTAATAACAAGAGTATGAATGGACCAAAAATGTAATAAATGATAAAATTGAGCAATTCCAAATAGTACACGGCAAATTTTGAACATTTTCCTATGTCAAATAAAAAGAGATATTAATCTCTATGTTAATTTTCATGCTGAAGAGTGTTCAATTTAACGAAAAATTGGTTTTTTACAGGTTAGGATTGCTAGGATTTTCAACACATATGGACCACGTATGTGCATAGATGATGGTCGTGTTGTGAGCAATTTTGTTGCACAGGTTTGTGAATTTGATTATCAAATTAAAGAAAATCCCAATATTGTATTCTTTGCATTTGATTTGATTCAATATTCACTACTTTCATTTGAATATATAAAAATCTTTAGGCCTTGAGAAAGGAGGCAATGACAGTTTATGGAGATGGGAAGCAAACCAGGAGCTTTCAGTTTGTTTCTGATTTGGTAAATTTTTTATTTCCTCTTCACTTATTCATCTCAGTCAAAAAATAATTGTTACAGAGTTATTATGAAAAGCTAATTGCGATTCTTCTGGAAAAAAAACCAATATTTACTTGAATTTAAGTTATGTACACTGTCGATATAAATATTTTTTTTATACTAAATGAACTTTAACATGTGATAGAATATTATACGGAGGCGGAGCTAGCCTATTGTGTGCAGGTTCAGTCGAACTCAGCCATATTTACTTAAATATTATATTTATATTAAGAAATTATTCAAATATGTATAAATATTTAATAGCGAACCCAGAAAATAAATGATTTTGTGGCAAATTTAGAACTCATAAATGACCTGATCATGTAAATACGTTATGTTTGATTGATGTAATTATACAGGTAGAAGGTTTGATGAGGTTGATGGAAGGAGATCATGTGGGTCCTTTCAATCTTGGAAATCCCGGCGAATTCACCATGCTTGAATTGGCTAAGGTATTATAGATAAATGACTTTAATCCATTTTTAATTTTCTTAATTGCATCCGGTGATTGAATCTTGAAACTCAATTTTCAAGTCAAATCTACTTTTTCATTTGCATGCTCATGTATATTTTTTGCTCATATATATAACCTAGAACTAGAAAAAATGTGTATGTAGTTGTTCTATATCGTTAGATTAAAGTTTGTTTTAAATAAGTATAATGGCGGGCCAAAATATGCATCATGATATTGCTATTGTGTGAAATTAAGTATATCTATAAGTGGAGTTGGATAGTTAGTAGGAGTATTTTGTAATCCTAATGTCTTTCGCGGTTGACCATTTCACATATATCTATGAGCCGTTTAGTTCAAGGGATTAGATGGGTTAGTGTTGATATAAATTTTTGAATTAAATTTAATTCGTATTTAGTTAGAGGTATTAGCTAAAACTTATATTATTTTTTCACCAAAATCTTGGTATAACTTATCTCATACAGAAGGTGAGATAAGGTATTCATGATATAATCCTAATGTGATATTCTTATTTTGAACCAAACGACCCCATCAAGTTTGATGAGTCCTAAACATTGAGGGTTATTGAATCCTTCTATAAGCAAATAAAGGAGCATTGGATTCGAGCTAAGGCAAATTCAGATGATATTAACAAGATGCAGCGCTAGCTAAGCTTTAGTAGCATTTTCTATCAAGAAATTAATCATAAAGCAGGTCAATCAGGTAAGCGATAGTACAAACTAGCTATGTTAACATACATCAAGAAATGCATGAATGTAGAACAATAGTTCAAAAAATAGGAATGAAAACCACATCCTTTATTAGATTTGATATTCATTACTTTCAGTACAAAAAAAACAAGTTATGAACCTAGTCGCTAATCTATCGCTAAATTGTTCGTAGCTAACAAAATTTCTTGATAATAGCAACGATTTTTCTCTTTAGCTATAGAATTTGTCCTTCGCTAATATCTATTTTTTAGTAGCGTTTGTTTCGAGATATACACTAAAGGTACTACTTATTAAAAGTTTTGTTGGGCAAATATCTGCAGGTGGTGCAAGAAACAATAGATCCAAATGCAAAGATAGAATTTAGGCCTAACACAGAAGATGATCCTCACAAGAGGAAACCTGACATTACAAAAGCAAAACAACTTCTTGGATGGGAGCCAACAGTTTCCCTCCGGCAAGGACTTCCGATGATGGTTGATGACTTCCGGCAACGGATTTTCGGCGACGAAAAGCGAGATTCCGGCAGTCTATTGACTATATAATATAGGTCTTCTCCGTTCATTGAGCCATGAAAATGGTTAAATGGAAAAAAATGAAAAGAAATTAGCTAATACAAGCAATGAATAATAACAAGAGGCTCTTTAAGAGTAGGCACTTGTTTAGAGTCTTCTTTTCTTTTTTTCTTCGTACATCGGACTGTTCTTTTTTTTACTTATTGAACTATTTCCAGAATAAGATCCTCTATTGAAAGAGGATGGTAGAATATAAAAGAATATTTTTGGTGCATTAGTAAAGTATTAAGATAGCTCTTGTGCTTTTGATCAATATATGAGTCAATGTTTGATACTTCTCCGGGGCCCTTGGCAATTGACATAAAACAATAGAGGGGGAAAAATAAAACAATATCTAGATTTATAACTGCCATTGCAAAATAGTCACACTTTCAAAAGTAATTAAATTTTAGCCACTTTTTTACGTAAAGATAAAATCTGAACAAAGATACCCTTAAAAATCTGAAAATATTCCGGCATAATATACTGGAGTTCGATTTTTTTACATATGAGCTTCCAGCATAATGTGATGGAGTTCCAACATAATATGCTGAAAGTTTATATGCATAAGCTTCATAATCCCGCATATTATGCTAGAACTTTTCGTGTTTCAGCAAAATAATGGCCATTTTTCAATTAATTTGCAAACGCTGGCTATTTTTTAATGACTTTGCAAACGTTGTCTATTTTTCAATTATCAATCCGAAAATTAGCTAGCTCATACTAGTTAAAATCGCACGGTATAGCCAGTTTTCGGACTGGTCATTCAAAAATAGCCAGCGTTTACCAAGTCAATGAAAAATAGCCACTATTTTGCTGCAGCAGAGACCGGTCCAGCATAATATACTGGAGTTCGGTGCACCTGTGTGTGAACTCCAGCATATTATGCTGGACCGGTATACTTTGCTGGCTCCAGTATAATATACTGGAGACTGGAGCACCGGTGCTCCAAACTCCAGTATATTATGCTGGACCGGTATACTTGCTGGAACTCCAGTATATTATGCTGGAGTTCTAGTGTACTTATGCTGGAACTCCATCATATTATGCTGGAGTTCCAGCATACTTATCTTGGAACTCCAGTATAATATGCTGGAGTTCAAGTATACTTATGCTGGAACTCCAGCATAATATACTGGCGTATTTTCCGGGTTTTGAACAGTGTTTTCGCTCAGATTTTTCTTTACATGAAAAGTGGCTAAATTTCGATTACTTTTAAAACTGGGATATTTTTGAACGACCAGTTATAAATCTGGCTATTTTTGAATTTCACGCCTCATACTATTATAAAAGAATTTTGCATATTCTTGCTTATCTTTTGGGGTTAATTCACGTATGGTTAATCGTTTTACACACTATAATAATAAAAATTATAAAAATTATTTTTTGGCACATTAAAGATCTACTATGACACTAAAGTTATACTCTCACAAAATTATTTTTTGTCATATTAATATAACTAAACTGTGTGAATTGCTTAGAAAATATCAGTATCATTTCCAAGAAAATAAACAAATACATTTTGTAAGAATTTTAACTACCCATGATTTATAAAACAAAGACAACTAAGAACTTTTCAAATTTCTACTTAGGCTCACAAGTTTTGAGTTAATAGCAACAGGGACCACATAAACATTGGGATTAATGCTATAACAGGACACTCTGAACAATGATTGCTTTAACCAACAAATGTTTGGTGTAGACACTTAAAACTCTTTATGGTGTTTTAATTTTTTCCGTCGACTCTAAAATTCTGCTATTAAAGATTGATTTAAAGCTTAGAAATTAAATGATAGTTCGGGAAATATCAAAATACCATAATACGTCGATCGTTTTACAACGTAAATTTGGATGATTGATAAAAATATCAAATATATTTAGAATTTCTCGATATTACCGGTCAGAAAACCCAAGGTAACGAAGGAGATTAGCAACTGGAGCAAGATCCTAAGCAACATATTCTATTCAGGGGCGGAATTAGGGGGGCGCAAGGGGGTTCACCCGAACCCCCTTCGCCGAAAAATTACACTGTATATATAAGGTAAAATCTGGTTTTTATCTCTATATATTAAGTTTTGAACCCCCTTAACACAATCCAAAAGTGTAGTTTAGTGGTCAAGGGGGTTCAAAACATTCATAACGTCACAAGTTCAATTCCCACTAGCTACAAAAAAAAAGTTTGAACCCCCTTCGTGGAGATCCTGCCTCCGCCACTTCTTCTATTCTATAAGAAGAGTCATTAAAAAAGACGAATGTATTTTTAAAGGAATTTATGTTGATTGCCTAACTTCGGGGACTTTTAAGGCTCACACTAGGAAAAACATCTGATGCTTCCAAGAATCCTAGAAAAGTTAGGAGTCTTTATGTAATTAAATAAACTTTGGGTCTCGAACGTAAATATCATCGTTTTTCATCCAAAGCTAAAATCCCGATTTTTATTTCACTTTCTATCTGTTGCTGCTTTTGGAAGCTCCGGTGCAGTTCTGACGCTGCCGTATTAACTCTCCTCCGGTGAGTCCTCCGCCCTCCGACATCCGTCGGCGGCGGCATCGCCTCCACCATGGTTTCATCTGTATCTCTTTCTCATATTTGGTTTATAATATAAAACCTTCAAATTAATTAATTGCTTTATTGTTTTTTTAATTGTGAATTTTTTTAAATCTATTTGAATATATTTGGTTAATTTATATTTAGTTCAGTTTTTATTCCTGTTATGAAGCGTGAAAAGTCTAATTCTTTCGGAGCTAAAATATATGGTGATGTGAGATTTAGGAATCGGGGTGTTTTTTACTGGTATGTAATCGAAAGTATGTGAATTTTAAGCTCATGAAATCTGTTGTGTTGATTTATTGAAGCATATATGATTATACTTTTATCTGTTTGTGAATCGCTTTGTTTTTGGCGTGCAAATTGGGAAGTAATTGCAGCATCCCTGAAATTGCCTAGTTAAAGGATTTTTGGAAAGTGAAGAAGCTCTAATGGATGACTTAACCATCAACTATGCCTTTATCCTATTCTTTTTTATTGGTAGCATTTTATAGGCTAATGTTTATTGACACTTGTTTCTACCAAGATCACAGAGGCTATTTGAGTCTCCACTAACATTAGAAAAATCATATTCGCTTGATTAAGTAATAATGTACAAGAGGTGCTCCTTATATACGAGTCTTAGGCTACGGACAATATGGTTGGTAATCATTCTCTAGGCTAATGAGAGTATATAATTAAAAGCAAATGCACAATATCGTAAGATCTCTTATACAACACTCTATAAGATTTTCATTATTCAAGTACAATGAATCTAGACATATAAATCTAGACACATATTCTCTAGAAATTTAAAGAACATTCCCGGTTCAATAATCCGCATCCTCGTGGCCCAACAAATGTGATGACGAGGTTGATATAGTTGGTTTAACTTCTTGTCTGGGCAGGTCAACTGGTAAATTGAGAAACTTGAAAGTTTGGAACTATTGTAGTCATGTTTGAGCATTGACTAGACACTTGAGCCCTTGTGATTTTGCATTCAAACATGGGGATGATATTTTATCGATCCTAGTTTGAATTCCACGAAATTCACAATGCAATGTTTTCTACAAGCTATTCTTATTTTTGTGCCATATACCTATAAGTAGGGGTGGCAAAATGGTTAAAAGAAAACAGTTAACCACCCATATTATCCACTAAAAAATGGGTTGGATAATGAACTTTTTAAAAACGGGTCAAATATGGATAAGAACCATATTGTCCATTTAGAAAATGGATATCCAATGGGTAACCAATGGATAACGAATGAGTCTAACTTTTACATTTGTAAATCCTCAAATTGGGGGTTCCTCAAGTTAGGGAGATTAAGAATTCTCCCAAAAGTGATCATATGCAAGAAGTCATGGATAATATGGTTACCCATATTATCCGCCGGTTAAACCGTTTTTTATCCGTATTAAATATGGGTTGGATCGGATAATTTATTCCGTTTTTTCTTCATTACTCGTTTTCGACCCGAACCATATCCGACCCGACCTGCCCGTTTGCCACTCCTACCTATAAGTGTTAGGTTTCAAAACCTAGTATTAGTTCTCCTCTTTTACTGGTTGGGTGTGGCCAACTGGCAGCCGGAAAAATAGGTGAATCATGTCAAATGCATATATACTATTTATATTGAAATTTAAGAAAAGTGTGTGAATAATGAGGAAAGTATTTGTAGCTTGTCAGGATGCTGATTATATTAAAATGGATAAAAGTAGGCATATGCATGAACAATAGACAGTTAGTTGTGCACCATAACTTACTGCTGAACCACATACACAGATATTCAGTTTGAAAATATGACATGTGAATGCCTACATATTAAGCTTATCAATCTGTAATAGTTCTCTTCCTTACAGTTTTTGTTATTGTGGCCAAAGCTTAATGTTTTTGACTTTCCTGGCAGAAATGTCTGCGTATGATAATGTGGTTGGCGGGAAGTTGAAACTAAAGGGAAAGGCATTGGATGTAAAAGCTGCTGGAATAAAGAAAAAGAAAAAGAAAGAAAAGAAGGATTATGATCAAATCTCCCAGGTTACAGGAAAGGAGCTTTCAACAGGTGAGTGGTGATATCTCCAAGTGCATAAAGTCTTGTGCTTTTGGTATTACTGTTCCTATTTACTGATTCCTCCCACCCTCCCTCTGCATTCAACTTGGTTGGAGTACAGTGAAACTGATAGATGATAGCTTGTCCATAACGGTTGAACAGTTTATTGTTGTGATTCAAACTGATGGTCCTAAAATTCCAATTTTCTCTCATCTAATGGAAATATGTTTTTTGCATGGTAGAGTTTAGTGATACGACAGGTAGGGCTAGAAGTAGTAATTTAACAACTGTTGACCACATTAAGCCTTCTTAGGACAATGAGGAACTACAATTTTTGACACGTTCCAGCAATTTGAAATTCAATTAATGCCTTAATGGCTAAATGCTGTTCTCATTGTTTCCAAACAATATTGGATGAGTAACTGAGGCATATTCCACTTTCCAGCCTAGATACATTTCATCTTGTATGTTCTGAGTGATGATATATGGTTTCTCTTGTCTACACACTTCACTAAATGTTTCTGACTGGATGTAGATGGTGGTAGTGGATCTTTAGATGATCCCATCAAGGAAGAGAGTACCGATGCCACTAAATCTGTTGGTGAAGAAAATGCTGGTCGCTGGGATGATAATCTAACCCCTGCAGAGAGGCGCTACATAGAACAAAGGGAGAGGATTGACATGCATAAGATGGCCAAGACTGCTAATAAATCACATCGTGACCGAATCGAAGATTTCAATCAGTACTTGGCAAACATGAGCGAGCACTATGACATTCCCAAAGTCGGTCCTGGTTAATTAAGAACAAATCAGAAATTTGCTCCATCTCTATATCTTGTTTATGGTTGTTTTGTTTTAGCATCTTCAATAGCTACTTTTTTGCAATTTGTATTATGTAATTTAGCAGTTCCCTTTGCTAGATGGTGAAGGGGAGCCTTGGAGTAATGGTAAAGTTTTCTCCGTGTGACCTATAGGTTACGGGTTGAGCCGTGGAAGCAGCCACTAATGCTTGCATTAGGGTATGTTGTCTACATCATACCCCTTGGGGTGTGGCCCTTCCCCGGACCCTGCGTAAATGGGTATGCTTCGTGTACCGGGCTGCCCTACCCTTTGCTAGATGGTCGCTGCATGGCATGTTGACTTTTGAGGTTTGAGCCTAGCAATAGTGTTGCTCAAAAGTTCACAGATTGTATTTACTTAAAATGAAATGCCTGAACCAGTTTCAATTTAGTAAAACATTTCAGAAGGTGGAGAATTCTCCTCTAATGCCTGTCTTTGTTTCTCCTGTACCTTCTGAAGACTGCCATGTGGTAATTATGTGTGTGATTTTGTGGTTGAAATGGCTATTTTTTGAATGTTTCTATTCTATTATGAAGATTGTGAAAAAGAATTCATGAATTGTGCTAGATTTCAATTTTTCTCGAGTGTTATGTTGTGTTGAAGTTAAGGTTGACCTGCAACAATAAGATAACTCTGCAATTTCAAGTCTTCTATGGTAACTTGAAAAATAGAGCAATAAACTGTTATAATTACTTATTGAATTAATAGTGTAAAAAAAATACACTCTGTATATAACTTTACTCTTTTTTTAGTTCAACGACGGTTTAGGCTTTCTTGGGTGGGTCATTATATGTTGATTTTAGCATTTAGATCTAATCATGTGTCAGAGGAGATCAGATGTGTTGATTACTGAATAATAATCAATACACATATATTTATATACGTACTACTTAGAATTTAACAAATCCAGGCTTATTACATGGCTGTTGGGATAACATTGTACCACATTCATTAGAGCAGAAAATTTTATTAATTGAAAAATTAACCTGAATAGCCGCCTATTTAACTGCTTAAACTAAAAATTGAAATCAAATATATAATATATGTATAGTTCATGTATAATATGTGTATAATTAAGTACAATTTATGTATACCAACTAGGAAAAATAAACAATAAATACGGTTGACTATTTTTCTAAAGATCCCGTAATCCCTCCCCCCCCCCCCCCTCCCCCCTCACACTGACACACATCCATAAAATAACGATCTCATATTATAACGAGTTTAAGTTACCGCATTCCATTTCTTGTAAGGTAATAACAAGTAAATCTCTAAAAATGAAGTAATTTTAATTTGGTAAAAATAATAATTAAACATGCTATATACTATAGACTGACAAATGGTGATAGTGTAAAAATGATAACTAACCTGCTATGTAATAGATTAATACATATTGATGAGTCATTCTTGAATGTGAACATGTCCTCCCTAAGAAAGAAAATAGAGCTTTTTTTAGGAAAAGAAAAGGAGCTGTTAAGGCAAAAATTTCTATATATAGTCCAAAGGCTGAAAGGTCTAACTCATGCATGTTGACGTGAAGGTTCTTTTATACGTATGAATATTATACTCAAACAAACGCGTTAAAAAGTGGTTCATTTAATGCCTCAAAAGTAAATACCTTAATCTATAATCTTTAACATTAAATATTTGCACTACGCATGCCGGCATGCGTATGTATAATTTCATAATCTTATGTTTTTATATATAGCGCGTGACATATTTTAAAGCTAATATAATTTTAATATTAGAGACCTATGAGACGAAACAACGGAGCAACGACGTATGAGACGAAAATATTGTCTAGCTATTGTTTGGAAGGGGCTTGAAGTAACAGTAAAATTATCATATAGGTCACAGGTTCAAGTCGTGGAATCAACCACTGATACTTGCATCAGGGTAAGTTTCCTATATCACACCCCCTTTGTTCGACCAAAAAGTTGTAGGCCTTTTTGCTAAACTAATTGAATAAGAAGATATGGGGTAAATTCTAGCCAGAGATAATTTATTCTAGATATGAGTTAGAAGATAGAAATAAACAAGCATAGCTGAACATGTAAATGGATTATAGTTGCGATTAAATTCCATAATGCAAGAAAAGGATGGTTGCTCCAATAATATTAAATTACCACGAAGAATACATAAAGGAAAGAATCACCGTTCTCGAACAAGACAGACCTCAAAACATTTGGTAAAGTTGATTTACAGATGAATAGCCAGATTCTAAACTCTTTGCTCCTCTTTGGGCGGAGAACCTCCGGGGAGAGAACCTTTCCTCCTTCAGAGAGATGTCTCTCTTTTTGTGTGTTCCCATCAGCCCCCCCGTCTACTACTCTCTTCCATGATATTTATACAAAACACTTTTCTTACCCAGCGGCCCTTAACCGGAGTACCTAAGTTCTTGGAATATCCCGTAGAATATTCCTCTAAAATATCTAAGTGTTGAGCTAGCCGTTCGGGCCGAATTAAGTGCTCGACCTCGACCATAGCTAAATCACTCGCCGGTATATTGCTTCCTATACATGACTTCGGCTTGGTTGATCCTTGGTCGTTCTTCCTTAAGTAGAATTCTTTTGATCAGATTTTGACCTATACAGTTAGTCCCTCCGTTCGTCGAGGGTTGCCTTTGGGCGAGCTCGGTGGGCGAAGTTCGCCAGTTGCACCTTTTGAGAAATTTGAGCACGTTGGCTGAAGAGTGATCCTTCATAGCAAGATGACGATGTGATGTTTCGAGAGCCATACCTGACCGTTACGTCATTTGAAATGACGTCAATTTGTCATGCGTTATTATGGCACACGTTCCCTATACGTTACGTCGTTTCCCGTGCCTCTTCTGCTTTGGAATTAACGTGATGTCGTTTTGTTTTCCCGCTAAGGATGTTTGTATTCCTATAAATAGAGAAGGGAACTCCTCATTTGGGATTGCTGTGTTTCCTATATATTATTCGAAAAATTCCAGGCTTCTCTTTCCTCCTTCCTCAGATTTTTATGTCCCATCTCTCTTCTTTTGAAGTTCCTTGCCATTGTTACTCCCTCTACCTTAACATCTATCATCTACATAACCAAAGAAAACATGGCTAGTGCGCCTTCTACTTTCGATGGAGTCGTCGGTACCGTTGCATCGGAAATGGATGTGCCCTCCCATGAAGAAGGGACATCCCTTGTGGAAGATGAGAATTTTCCCACCATGGATGAGATAATTCCACACTCGGGGAAAGCCAGGATTGATTTCAAGCACTTACCTGACGCCGATCCCGAGCTCGTCATTTTTGTAATGGACGCTGCGGCACTTGCTGCGCTTAAGGCTAAGTGGAGGATTCCTGATCATGTCGAACTCATTCCCGCGGGTAACGAGGTCGTGCAGATACATCACCCGGGGTACTGTGCATTTTATGCGTACCCGTTTGTCATCGGTTACACACTTCCCCTTCCTTACCTAGCGGAATACTTTTGTTGCTATTATGGGGTGTTCCCGGCTCAGCTCTCTCCCTATATATACAAGCTCTTCCTCATGCTTACCAAGTACACGGAACTGGCTGGTCGGGGGATTTCTCTTAGTCACTTGCTTCACCTCTTCGTACCCAGTTTTTACAGGGGTACTATGATACATCTTCGTCACCGCGGGACCAAGGGCTTGGTGGTGAATATGGACGACAAGACCAATCGCCGCTTTTGGGAGAGCTTCTTCTTTGTGAGGACGGAGCACGTGGTGTCGAATCCTAACGAATTTCTTGAGGAGTGGAATTATGTCCGTAAGTTTCTTTTTGTATATGTATATTTTTTATAAAAAAAATGGCTTCTCGTTGTCCCCTTCCGGTGATCTGATTGTTCTTTTTTTTCCCTCTACTTTATAGCCAAGAAGGCACCTCCTCCGGTAGTCGTTGATATTCACGAGTGGATGAGCCAGGTTTTACGCCATACGATGGGGATTCGTGAATGGTTGCCGTTTCACGAGAGATTCGGGCGTAGACCTTCTGCCGGTGAGTTATCTTGTCTTGCCCTTAGTAGTTTTGCCCTTTGCTCTGTATTTTCCTCTTTGGTTTAAGCTTCTCTCATTGGTAGGTCGATGGGTCACGAGGAGGCGAGGGCTCCCATACCTGCTTTCTGTCAGTCGAGTCTCTTGATCAGACCTGCACCGATTGTGGCTGCAAGTGAGAGCGTTCAGACCGCTGCTACTTTGCAAATTACAGCCCCTCCCGGGCTCGGCTGTCGTGAGATTGTTCATCAGGCGGAGGCTCTGCTTCCCGCGGTTCATTTGGTGGATAAATCGTCTCAAGACGACGGCGAAAAGGCTCCATTAAAAAGGCGGAGAATAAGGGCCGATGGAGTACCCAGGACCGAAGGTCCTTCGAGGTGCGATCCCGTGTTGGTAGTGTCTAAGCCTGCTGGTGATATCAATTTAGATGAGGAGACCGTATCCCCCTCGGGCATGGGGGTGGTTCCCGTTTCTGGCGTGGGGGGGGGGGGAAGGGTCTACCGTGGTAGGGGGGCAGAACTCGGAGGCCGATGCGATCATTCCGAGTGGGCCATCGACTTCACAACATGCCTGTGCTCCCTCTTCGGCCAGTGAGAGGGCAAAGGGCGTAGTTGTAGACGACTATGGATCCGGTTCAGATATTGACCCCGAAGACATAAGCATGTTTGAGGCGGGATTCACTCGGGTGGAGGCGAGAACAGATGATTCCTCCCGCGTGATCGAGATTGCTCCGTAGTGCAATTTGTTGGAGGACACAGTGAGCTTGGTGCCCCAATTTGCCCTTCTTTGTTCTGCTACTGAAAGCAGGGCCCTTCAGGAGATCAGCGATGCTGGCCTATCACGGGGCGTAGTCGGAATGGCTTTGAGGGTGAGTCTATTGATTTCTTCATTTTACGTCTTCTACTCTTGCTAATTTTCACTTTCTGTTCTCTTCTCTTTCTTCAGACTTTTATTTTGGAGTCTGGGAGTATCCGCAGCAAGGAGAGGCGGGCTGCCGCTTTTCAGAAAATGGTTTCAAAATACCATCGATACCGTGACAAATACCGCGAGATGCATGCACGACTCAGGGCGGCCGGCAATCCTCAGTCCCTTAGGGAGGAGTTGGAGCGGAAGGACGAGGACCTGTTGCGGTCTATGAGCAAATGCAGCAAACTCGAGAGGCTGCTTAGGGCTAAAGAAGAAGAGCTTGAGGTGAGCAAGGGTGTTGTAGCTGAGTGTGTTGATCTTCAGGCGAAGGTGGTGGCCCTGCGGGCGGAGCTCGAACAGAGTGACATTAGGGTCGCCGGTTTAAGTGTTGAATTGGCGGAGAAGGTGACCGAATTGGAAGGGAAGGCGACCGAGCTAGAGAGGGCTGAGGGAGCCCGAGTAGTAGCCTTGTCGAGGGCTTCAACGTTGGAAGATTCTATCCGCGTTCTCAGGTCTGAATGTGCCACTGAGATGGGGACGACCACTCTGAGGGAGGCGCGACTTGATGAG